TTGGTTAAACTGATGTTCCAATACATCAAGATTGCAGTTCCATCCCTGGAAAGGGCACATATAAGAATGAACCAATGAATGTATGAATGGGTGAAACAACAAATTAATTTCTCTCTCTCCCTCTCTCTCTCTCTCTCTCTCTCTCTCTCTCTCTCTCTCTCTCCCTCTTTCCTTTCCTCTCTCAAATCAATTTAAAAAATATATAAATAATAATTTATTTACCTGTTCTTAGTTGAACTTTTGAGTCATTTTGAGCACGTTCAGGAGGCAACTGATCAATGCTCAATGTTTCTCACATCAATGTTTCTTTATCTCTCAAAAACAAACAAACAACTAAGAAGGGGGGGAAAAAAGTTAATTTAGACACTTTTAGTTCAAGAAATTAGAAAAAATAGGGCAAAGTACTGGTGATCTATAAATCCCTGGCACGATTCCTGTTGTCTTCAATAATCTAATCTAATAAAAGAGAAACATGGTAATTGGCATACAACTGCTACCCTTCCCATTGGCTAATCAGGGAGATATGCAAATTAACTGTCAGTCAGGATGGCGGCCGGAAGCCAGGCAGCTTGAAACTAACATGAGGCTTGCTTACTTCAGTGACGGAGGATTCCAACGTTCCCCGCCTGCCTTGCCGGCCTCTGAGCCTGCAGTTTGAAACATTTTAACAAATATAGAAGCTAAAAAAAACACCCAGAAACCAGCTTTCAGCGAGCTGGGATCTCAGAGCTGGAGTCAGAGCTGGAGTTATACATTGTTTCAATTACCTACTTTCAGCAGCGGAGGCCTAAGAGCTGGAGCCTCAGAGCTAAAGCTGGCCCAGAATTAAAAAAAAAGAAAAAGAAAAAAAGGAGCGGTTGGGAGCTTCCGTCACCCGCCAGCCTGAAAACAGCCCTCAGCCCCTCACCCAGACTGGCCAGGTGCCCCAGTGGGGACCCCCACCCTGAAGGGTGTGTGACCAGCTGCAAACAGCCCTCAGCCCCTCACCCAGGCTGGCCAGGCACCCCAGTGGGGACCCCAGCCCTGAAGGGTGTGTGACCAGTTGCAAACAGCCCTCAGCCCCTCACCCAGACTGGCCAGGCACCCCAGTGGGGACCCCCACCCTGAAGGGTGTGTGACCAGCTGCAAACAGCCCTCAGCCCCTCACCCAGACTGGCCAGGCACCCCAGTGGGGACCCCAAACCTGAAGGGTGTGTGGCCAGCTGCAAACAGCCCTCAGCCCCTCACCCAGGCCGGCCAGGCACCCCAGTGGGGACCCCAACCCTGAAGGGTGTGTGACCAGCTGCAAACAGCCATCATCCCCTCACCCAGGCTGGCCAAGCACCCCAGTGGGGACCCCCACCATGAAGGGTGTGTGACCAGCTGCAAACAGCCATCATCCCCTCACCCAGGCTTGCCAGGCACCCCAGTGGGGACCCCCACCCTGAAGGGTGTGTGACCAGCTGCAAACAGCCATCATCCCCTCACCCAGGCTTGCCAGGCACCCCAGTGGGGACCCCCACCCTGATCCAGAACACCCTTCGGGGCAAACCAGCCAGCCCCACCCATGCACCAGGCCTCTATCCTATATAGTAAAAGGGTAATATGCCTCCCAGCACTGGGATCAGCGAAGCCGGCCGGCACCAGGATCAGCGTGACAGGGGGCAGCGTCCAAACCCCCTGATCGCCCTGCGGCTCTGTGCGTGACAGGGGGGAGCTCCCCAACCCCCTGATTGACCCTGCTCTGTGCGTGACAGGAGGGAGCTCCCCAACCCCCTGATGGGCCCTGCTCTGTGAGTGACAGGGGGCAGCGCCCCAACCCCCTGATGGGCCCTGCTCTGTGCGTGACAGGGGGTGGCGCCACAACCTCCCCATCGACCCTGCCTTGAGTATGACAGGGGGCGGTGCCCCAACCCCCCAATAGGCCCTACCCTGAGCGTGACTGAGGGTGGCATCGCAACCTCCCAATCCACCCTGCTCTGTGCATGACAGGGGGCGGTGCCCCAATTCCCCAATCGGCCCTGCTCTGAGCCCGACAGGGGCTGCACCTAAGGATTAGGCCTGCCCTCTGCCACCTGGGAGCAGGCCTAAGCCAGCAGGTTGTTATCTCCTGAGCGGTCCCAGACTGCAAGAGGGCACAGGCCGGGCTGAGGGACCCCCACTCCCCCCAAGTGCACAAATTTTTGTGCACCGGGCCTCTAGTATTAATATAATGTCCACAGGGAAAAAGCACACACTGCAAGCTAACGCTGGTAATACTGTGAGCATTATGAAGACTTTACAGTTCTAAAACTACTAAAATACCAAGAAGTGGATTTTCATAGGTATGTTATTTATAGGGATATTTTTTGTGGTAAGTCCCTTAATACCTAAATCATGGAGATTCAAAGTGATGCACAATCATGAGTTAATCTTTTCAACACTCTGTAATAAAGATTTTAAGAAGAATAGGGCACAGGCCAATGACGTGTGTTATTCCAAAGTCACCAATTAAATCAGCGGCCAAACAAAGCTGCTGACTCTCCAGATGTATGACTCATTCTGCTTCATATTTCCAAACCTTATTTTAGTTTATCCCAATGATTGGTCTTTTTTGACATTTTTTATTGTTGTTGGTGGTGGTGATTGGCAGAAAATGAAAATGGCCATGTTTGAAGTTCAGAATCATCTGTTTTAGGGAAATAATAAACAAAAAATGACAGCACAAATACTCAAATGAAAGAAGTAAATGGGCACAGCAAAAAATCCATGGAGAAAATTTGCCGGTAGCTAAAAATACCTAGTAGTGAAGTGTAAATTGAGGTATCAAAACGTTCAATATTTGGACACAATGGTGAGTACACTTAGAACTGTCTTTCACTTAGCTTTTTTTTTTTTTTTAACATAATGTCATACTTACAGAAAAGTTTCAAAAATAATACAAAGATTTAACTCCAGAATAACTTCCACCCAAATTTCCCAATTGTTAACTTTTATTGTCCTCACAATCTTCTTCAGTCTCTCTACACATGTGCATATGCACACATACACACACACACACAATTTCTGAACCACTTAAGAATAAGTTTCAGATATGATACTTCTTTTCTGCTATACTCTACAATGTACATTTCCTAAAACCAAGGCTATTTTCTTATATAACCACAGTAAAATTTTCAAAATTAAGAAACTAATACTGATACAACACTGTTATTTACAGCCCTTATTCAAATTCCACCAATTGTCCCAATGACATCAATTTTAACAAGAAATTTAGGATCATGCTTTGCATTCAGTTCTTGTATCTCTTTACTTTCCTTCAATATATGGAAGTCCTGAGACTTCCTTTGCATTTCATGAGGCTGATATTTTTGAAGAGTATGGAACAATTGCTTTGTAGAATATCCCTCAAATGAAGGTTTGTCTGATATTATGATTAGATTCAAATTATGTACTTTTGGCAGGAATATAACAGAAATGATGCCATTTCCTTTTCAGTGCATATGCTGTTGATTTATCTCATTACTAGAGACCTGGTGCACGAAATTCGTGCGGGGGGGGGGGGGGAGCCGCTCAGCTGGCCTGCATCCTCTCCAATCCAGGACCCCTCGGGGGATGTCCGACTGCCTCTTACAATCTTGGACCGCTGGCTCCTAACCGCTCACCTGCCTGCCTGCCTGATCACCCCTAACCACCTGTGCCTGCCTGCCTGATCACCCTTAACTGCTCCCCTGATGGCCTGATAGCCCCTAACTGCCTCTGCCTTGCCCCACACCCGGGTCCCAGGATTCCCTCTTCTGGACGGTCACAGGCACCTGGGACACAGGCTTCCCTCCCTCTGGCCAGCCACAGGCACCCAGGACCCAGGCCAGCTTCCCCCCCGGGCTGGCCATGGCTGCAGGGGACTGTGGGCGGGCGGCTTTGCCTGGGCTGCAGGCACAGGTGCTGGTATCTGGGACCACGGGGCAGGCAGCTTGTCCCTCTCCTGGGCCGCAGGCAGAGCCGCTGGCACCTGGGACTGTGGTGCAGGCGGATTGTCCTCCCGGGCCACAGCCTGGCTGGTCCCCATTCCTCTCTCGCAAGCTCATTTGTGCCTGGCTGGCACCCATTCCTCTCTCCCCAGTGTTGTGTGTCTGAGCTGTTATGGCATATTAGCTCTTTATTGTATAGGATGGGTGAAATTAACCTTGATCATTTGGCTAAGGTGGTGTCTGTCATGTTTCTCCACTGTAGCATTATTATGTTACCTCATAATTAATAAATGCCTTTAGGAAAGATACTTTGAAATTATGTAACTATTCTATTAGTCTTCAAGCATTTACCCACTAGTAGCATCAATTGATGACTACTGCCTGAACCAATTAGAATTAGTATCTTTTAATTAAACTTGTTTCTAAAATGTATACTAGGATGGAGGTGGGTTAGAAGAGGTCAATGGGGGAGGAAGGGGGACATAGGTAATACTTTCAACAATAAAAATTTTTTCAATGTTATAATAGTTATGTTATGCTAAATGTTAGAATAGTCATAGGACTTTCCTTATAGATGAACTCTTACAACCTAAAAACACTATAATCAATGATAAGGAGGTAGAATACAATTTCAATTGAGCTAAGGACTGTCAATAGGCATGAGTGATGGGGGGGATGAAAATGTTCTAAAACTGACTTATGATGATGGTGAGTTACTAATTGAATCACTGAATCATATATCTGAAATGGGTGAATTTTATGTTATGTAAAATCTCATAAAATTAAAGGTATTAAAACAGGAAAAAATTAAGTAAGGATATAATAAAAATTATTTGAGCCAGAACACAGAAGCAGAAGCCAGCAACAATGTCAAGATTTATATAAATAACATGTCTAAATCAAGGGTTCTTAACCTTCTTTATTTTATTTTATTATTTTATTATTTTTTATTGATTTCAGAGAGAGAAAGAGAAAGAGAGAGAAACATCAATAATGAGAGGGAATCATTGATTGGCTGCCTCCTGCACACCCCACACTGGGGATGGAGCCCACAACCCAGGCATATTCCCCGACCAAGAATCGAACCATGACCTCCTGATTCATAGGTTGACACTCAACCACTGAGCAACACCAGCCGGGCTCTTATCCTTCTTTTATGTCATGAGCCTCTTTGGCAGTCTGATAAAGCCTGGATTCCTATTAATAATGTTTTAAATACATAGAATACATAGGATTACAAAGAAAGTAAATTATATTGAAATAATTATAAAATATTTTTGTAATATAATAATATACGAGTTTTAAAACTATGGTAATAGCAATAGATTTAAAATATAGGCAAGCAAAAGTTAAATTTTATTTTTATAACTCAGTGTGATGGCTGTTGTTGCTTAGCATGAATAAGAATGATAAACTTTTTTGATGGCTTTGTGCATATCATGTAAGATATCCAGTTGACTTCCAGTTTTTGTTTTTTTGGTTACAAATGTTGGCAACCCATATTCTCCAAAATATATTATCATAAATTTAACTAAAGTTCCCTTAGCTTGCTTAACAAGAAATGGATGGATTCTCTCAAGAATACCAAAATTCTCTAAAGCTGTTTGAGTTAAATTTCTATTATGAGGTTATATAGACCCACCATTTGAAGGTCCAGAGTTGCATTGAAGTTGGCTAGCTCTAGTGCAAGAGCATCTGTAGAAAGAGAGGCTAAGAACTGATACTGAAGTATTCTTGAGAGATTGATAAACATAAATGATATTTTACAATATCTGCCACAACCTCACTGTGATTTGAAAGTATCTGGTATTTCTACTGGTTACAAGGTCACAAGTACTAAGATTTTTGCTAACATTTATACTTAGAGAATTTTCTAAATTTCATTTAAATGTTACTAAAGAAAAATATGTATATTATTTTACCCATCAAATGCAAGCATGCCGTGAATTCCATCCATAGGCCCTTCAGCATCCAAAGACTCCAGGTCAATAACTTACAATATAAACAGATAAATAAATTAAACAAAATTTACAACTCTCACATTTTGCCTATTTGGTATATTTACAGAATGCCTAAAGACAACATAAATACATCTATAAAGTTAGGATGTTTTAAGAGAAAAGGAAAATTCTGATTTTGTTTATATTGAGTCTAAAGACTCAAAAATAGAATTCTAATTCAGTTTCTTTCAAGATTCTTCCTCATAAAATGTGGTCAAAATACTTAGTGCTGTTAAAATAATTTCTGGTGAGGAGATATCTGTTTCTGCTCTTTCATTTCTAGGCATTAGTCCAGCCCAAGGTTTTTCTGCCTCGTCGTCACTTGCGATAGGCAGAAATTGATCTCTTCTTTCTTATTTTTATCTCCAGTTTGGGACTGCCTTTTTACTTTTTTATTCTCATCTAAATTTAGATGTCGGATTCTTTTTCTTACATCACTGCAAGCAGGAAGAGTCCAGTTATGTGTTTGTGAGCAGTTATCTCTTTCCTATTACAAAACTCATTAAGTCCTAAAATGATATCAGGATCTTCAGTTCTCTGAAAGAAAAATATTAGAGAGAAGGTTTCAGTTACCTAGAAAAAATTCTGCAATTAGGAATTAAGATATGTTGGGTACACAGGTCCTTCTCTGCTAGGGCCTATACCCCCATGGACACCAGGTATTAGACAAAGAAGACGAGCAGTCGTAGGCATATAGGAGAGTCTTTATTGCAGACCAAGTAGCCATTGCTAACAAAACAGTTCTTCAAAGTAGCTGCACAAAGCAGCCCTTGCTAATATAGCAGCAAACACAGGAGCCAGCCACCTGCTGGTCAGTAACACATCCTATATAATAATGAGGTAATATGCAAATTAACCCTCACACCCTCACAAGATGGCTGCCTACGACCAGGCCAGCAGGGGAGTTAGTGAGGGACAACCAAACGACTGAACAAGCAGGCTGCATGGGGTGACCAGGCCAGTGGGGCTGGGGGGAGAGGGGGCGTGAGGGGTGACCAGGCCAGCAGGGGGGGCAGTTGGGGCAACCAGGCTGGTGGGGAGGAGGTGCAGTTTGGGGTGACCAGGCTGGCATGGGGGCAGTGAGGGGCGACTAGGCTGGTGGGGGGGCAGTTGAGGGTGACCAGGCTAGCAGGGGAGGGGCAGTTAGGAGCAACCAGGCAGGCAGGCAGGTGAATGATCAGGAGCCAGTGGTCCAGGATTGTGAGAGGGATGTCCAACTGCTGGTTTATGCCTGATCCCGGACTGCAAGAGGGCACAGGCCAGCCTGAGGGACACCCCCCCCCCCCCCGCCCCGAGTGCATGAATTTCATGCACCAGGCCTCTAGTCTTTATACTAACTTAGACAGAAGAGGCTTCTTGCCAAATAGTGACATCACTATTTGGGTTATAGAAAGATACACCTGCGCAGTGCATACAGTGAGATTGCTGTGTTCTTGCTTTTGCACCTGCGTATGGCAAATTGGCCTTGAACATCTGGTGTACTCTGATTAGGGTTCCTACAGGATATAATAAAAGGTAACACTGCTAGAAGTCAGATTTGTGCTTTAATCCATATTATGCCAAACTGGGCACTTCTAACACTATTTCTGAGCCTCAGTTTTCCTTAGGTGGAAAATGAGTGGTAATTTGCTATCTAATCTCTAAGTTACTTCCTATGTCAAAAATTAAATAAATCATGACTATATCAAAAACAGTCATCTACTGTACTCTGTTGATGCCCATCCTCCATCTGGCTGGTCTGTTCATCCCCTAGATGTAATGAGTATCTGTTGTGAGCAACTCACAGCTGTCCCATCTAGAATTGCTCTCTTCCCTCAGCAGAACAGGACACTGGGTCAGCCACATCCTGAGGTTTACAGCCCCTATTCAATAATTGACATGGGGCACAAAGTGGGCCCCTTTCCTCAAGATGGACCAGAATTTCCTGTGGGATTAGACTAAAGCTGGTGGCCTTGCTAAATTTTTTTCCTGTGTACTATCCTGCCTCCCTCATTCTTGTTCTTCTGCAATCACTCCCTCAGCTAATCCTCTCAATAAGAATCACCATTGAGAGCTCTGCTTCTAGGGAACTTAGACATAGACTCTTACAGAAGGCATTCAGCAAGTCTGAATGAATGAAGTTAATTGGTTAATATTAATCATAAAAGTTATAGATAAAACCTAAGAACACTTCATATAGTTTTCAGCAATACCTATGTCTTGGGAATATTTCTTAGCAAGTACTATAAACATGGAAATTTGTTTCTGTCCCTTTAAACTAAAATTAATGAACTCATTTCCAGAAAGAGTTTCCCCCAAATGCCTATTGAATGTCTAGCAGAGGATGGGATATCCCCAGCTACTGTCCCAAGTAATCAAAGTAATGAACTCAATATTTAGGGAGGAAAAGAAAGCTGACAGCTCATATTCCCAGAGTTCAGCACCTTTGATTCATTATTTATTTCTATCATAAGGGAGTGCATTATAAACTTATTAGCAATAACAGTATTAAGAATGTATGAGAAAACAATGCAGTAAGTGCTTAAATGTGAGGCTAACTTTCAATTATTCAGTGATAAAGATGGGTTATGTAGATGTGTGGGTTGGAACAGTTCATACAGTTTGTACCAAACCACAGAAAACAGACAAAACTCTCATTTATCAACATATCTTCTTTTAGCTAATAATACAGTGCGGTTGTTTTTTTTTAAGTGGAAAAAGCAGTTGTGTAAGTTTTGAAACTTCTTACTGGAGAGAAACACTCTATAATTACTCCTCAGAACAATCACAAACACAAGAGCCACATAAGAACAGTAAAATCCGGGGCAACACAGTTTGGTTGTGTGGACCCTGTTCTCTGCTCAGTTCCAGTTATCAGTCCTCTGGCCTCAAATTATTTTCTTTCAGTGGGTAGTCAGTTGCTAATGAGTACCCGTTTGGAAATCATTAGGACATTCAGTTAAACCAGCGGTTCTCAACCTGTGGGTCGCGACCCTTAGGGGGTCGAACGACCCTTTCACAGGGGTCGCCTAAGACCATCCTGCATATCAGATATTTACATTACGATTCATAACAGTAGCAAAATTACAGTTATGAAGTAGCAACGAAAATAATTTTATGGTTGGGGGTCACAACATGAGGAACTGTATTTAAAGGGCCAGAAGGTTGAGAACCACTGAGTTAAACGTAGTATGTTTTACTATTTTTGCTTTTGTACTTGCCGTAGTGCTGTTGAACATAAAACCTGTTTTCCATTGATAATTTTTCCTGATTAGACTGCTTTTACATGTTGTTGTGGGATTTTATGTATTATTGTTCAAAAAAAACCCCACAAAAAACACCACTATAAGATTTTAGACATTATGAAGAGAATGCTCAATTTTCTGCTCTGTTAAACAATTTATGTACATATATTGTTCTACTTACTAGAGAATATATGATCTACCATAGTTGTCTTGAACCTGTATATTCTAAACTTCTTTAATGAAACAGCTGTTTCTTAAAGCAATGTCTAGCATACAGCAGGCATTTCTCAACACACGTTGAAAAATATAATAAAACTCCTTGTAGCAAAGTAACACAGAATGGGTGACTTAAACAAGGTAATTTTATTTTTCACACTTCTAAAGGTTAGAAGTCCAAAATCACGGTGTCAGCAAGTTTAGTTTCCTCTGAGACCTATCTCCTTGGCTTGCAGATGTCTGCCTTTTCTCTGTATCCTCACACGGTTTTTCTTTTGTATGCATGTCTATGTCCTAATCTCCTCTTATAAGGGACACCAATTGTATTAGATTAGGGCCCACCCATATGACCTCAGCTACCTATTTGTGTGGTCTATCTCCAATAAAGTACTAGAGGTTAGGACTTCAACATGAGTTTTGGAGGCACACAATTCAGCCCATAGCACTCCTTTATATTGGTCTTATCAATTTTAATCCTTATCAAGTTTATATACTTAAAGGAAACAAAAGTAAGTATTTAAATTATTTTAAAGTAAGACTTATAGAATCGCTCTTTTTCTAGTCATTTGTTTGGAAATTAACTATGCTAATTATAATTTAGTAGTTGTTATAAGCTATATTAATTAACATTCCATCTGGGCAGAAGCAAATATTAATGAGGCTGTGAGATAAATTGAGCTTCCATTTCCCAAACTCTTCAATAAATAACAATATAGACCTCTCTGATTAAAATAAATATGGACTTTTTGATTGATATCCCTTTTATATGGGGAACATTTAACAATGTTTCAGGTAAGAATTTGGAATTATAGTATATTATATGTTGTAAGATAATTATATTACCTTTCAAGCATACAAACGAAATTATAAAATTACTTTGAATGCAACATAAGTGAGAAAAAAAACCCTGAGGATGTTTTCAGCAGGACTACTTGTCTTTGTTATAATTATAATTAAAGCCATTTCACTTTACAATAAACTTCTGCCCTGTAAAAGATAAAAAGATAGAACACACTACAATTTAGAATTCTGGCTTTTTTTTTTTAACCAAAAAACATTTGGATCACCAGAAGATAATGTTATAATATCCTGAGAAAATGGAAAGAAAGGAAATTATATATTATGTATGCAAATATGTGATCCATGTTATCTATTAGAGAAAACCTTTATATCAACTTTATAAAATCTTGCCTACGAAAAATGTATATTTAATATATATATATTAAATTTTACCCTTGAGTATGTGTCTCTCAAATATATATACATATTAAATATACATTTTTTTATATTGGATTGAAGCTGTTCAACTTAGAGGTTAGCTATAGACTTTCTGTAGATGTCTTTTATCAGGTTGAGAAAGTTTCTGTCTATTCTTTTGTTGAGATTTTTAAGATCATTAACAGATGTTGAATTTTGTCAATGATTTTTTTCTTTAGACTATTAGTATGGTGAATTACCATGATTGAACTTCTGTTACTGAACCAACCAGCCCTGCATTCCTGGCATATACCCCACTTGGTTGTGATATATTATTCTTTTTACATGTTATTGGATTTTATTAGCTAATATTTTGTCAAAAATTTTATTTTATTTTTATATTTTTGATTTTGAGAGTACATTTATTAAAGCTGGGGACAGTGAAACAAGGAAGGACTTAGTACAGAAGAAATAACAGGAGAGAACCTAGGTGGGGCTGCTTTGGCTCATTCGGAGTGCTCCTGGAGGGAGAGCATGCTTGTTGATTTTTTTTTTTAATATATTTTATTGATTTTTTACAGAGAGGAAGGGAGAGGATTAGAGAGTTAGAAATATCGATGAGAGAGAAACTTCGACCAGCTGCCTCTGGCACACCCCCTCACTGGGGATGTGCCCGCAACCAAGGCATACGCCCCCAACTGGAATCAAACCTGGGACCCCTGAGTCCACAGGCCGACGCTCTATCCACTAAGCCAAACCGGCCAGGGCAATTATTTTAATGTCTATGTTTCTGATAGTATAAGTCCTTAGTTTCCTTTCCTTATAATGTCTTTCTCTGGATTTGGTGTAAGAGTAATGCTGGCCTCATAAATTGAACCCTGGCCAATGTGGCTCAGTTGTTTGAGCGTTATCCTGTGCACCAAAATATAGCTGGTTCGATTCCCAGGTTGTGGGTGTGGTCCTTGGTGTGTAGGGGAGGCAACCTATCCATGTTCCTTCATTCTCTTTGCTTTGGGTTCCTCTCTTCTCTCTCTCTCTCTCTCTCTCTCTCTCTCTCTCTCTCTCTCTCTCTCTGCTAGTTCCTAAATTGGAAACTTATGGTATTGATCTGAGACTTTTCTTCCTTTCTAATATAAATATTTAATGCTATAAATACCTTAGTAAGCATTGCTTACCTACTGTCTCTCAATTTTGAGTTGCTAAATATTAAGATTATTAGTCCTTTGTCTGTCTTATATGTGATCAATATTTCTCCCAATTTATCCATTATACTTAGCCTTTGCTAATGTGTTTTTGTGATGCAAATTTTTAAATTTTTTATATAATCAAATTTATTATTTTCTTAGTGACTAATTTTGAGGCATGATTAGAAAGTCTTTCATGACTCAAAATCAGAGGCACTAAGTTCCAAGGGTAAAGAGAAATTCACCTTTTTATTTTATTTTTTAGTATTTTCATGATTTTTTTAAATTTGCATTTAGATTCCTAATCCATTAGAAGTTTATTTTTGTGTATGAGATATTAATCTAATTTTATCTTTTTCTAAGTGGCTACCAAATTGTTCCCAGCACCATGTATTAAAAAGTCCATCTTTAACCCAGTGATTTGAATAGTTAACTTTCTGAAATACTAGAATTTCTATCAGATTTTTGGATCTAACAAAAAGATAGAGAAAGTTATTTTGAATCTAATTCTGGCTATTTTACTTTATTTCACTGGCCTACTTGTCTATTGGTGTGCCAGTACCACACTGTTTTAATTATAAAATATTTGTATAAACTATGTTTTTAAAATTTCTGGTAGAGTTAGTTTCCTGTCACAGTGTTTCCTTTTCAGTGTTTTCTTGGCCTTTTATTTTTCTATATGAACTTTAAATCAGCTTGTCTAACTCCATAAAAGCTTATTAGTATTTGTATTAATTCCTTGTTAAATTTAATCTTATTCAATTAAGTTCCAAATTTAAGTTCTAAATATTTTAATATCATGACTCATTCAATTTATTCTATATCCCTTCCAGTATTGTGTTATCACAGATTTGAAGAGTATTCCCTCAACATTATATTATGTTCCCTGCTATTTATCAGAGTGGGATACATTAGTGAGCTAAGGATACTCTTTTGCTTGGATATGCTAGTCATGTCCCACCTAAGTGACATTGACCTGTGAATATTTTGAGAATTGGTAATCAACCATTTTCTTTCTATATTTTCTTTTCTTTTCCTTTTTTTGTTATTTTTTTCTCTTTGTTCAACCATTTTCTAATCAAGCCACCCATTTAACCCATATTCCCCTAAGTCAGCGGTCGCCAACCTTTCGGACCTCACAGACCACCAGTGGTCCATGGACCACCAGTTGGCAACCGCTGCCCTAAATGGTCCATAAGTGTATCACGATCCATTTGTCAAATGTTCCACTGTGGTTCAAGCCACACTGGATAAGCCATTTCATTATCTGCTCCAAAAACAAATATGTAAGTCCTTTCTTTTAGAAAAATTATGAAAGCAGACACCCAGAAGCAGTTGGCTTAATTGATTAGTAAATTGCTTACTGAAAATCATTATGGTTCCAGTTTTTTTTACCCAGTATATTTTTATTGATTTCAGAGAGGAAAGGAGAGGGAGAGAGAGTTAGAAACATCAATAATGAGAGAAAATCATTGATTGGCTGCTTCCTGGAGGCTCCCTACTGGGGATCAAACCCAAAATCCAGTCATGTGCCCCCGACCGGAATTAAACCCAAGACCCTTCAGTCCACAGGTCGACGCTCTATCCACTGAGCAAAACCAGCTAGGGCTGTGGTTCCAGTTTTTAAGGAAAAAAAAATCTTGAAGATATCATACAGAATGCAGTATACACTTTAAATCAGAGACCATTGTATGGTGCTCTCTCCCCCATAACACGGTAATAGGAATGAAGGGGTATAAATATGTGTGACTTCTCTTATACTATACCTCATATCACATTTGCAGAAATTTTGCTTCATGTCCTAGCATTGAACTCCACTGGTTTGGGGGTCTTAGTTCCAAGAGAGAATGTTTCCATCAGAAGACAAAATAATGGTCCTGTTGAATTAGAAAATAAGATTGTCACCTGGTTATTTGAAGGTGTTATGTCACTAAACCAACAGGAAGAAAAAAAAAAAATGTTACTCTACTGGTTGGTTACCAAGGGGAAATTGGCTTGCTACTATGTATGGTGGTAAGGAGAACTATGTCTAGAACCTAGGGATCTCTGGCTACATCTTAGTACTTTTATCCTCGAAAATTAATGGAATACTAAGCAACCAAAAATAACTAAATAAAAGACAAGATTATTAAGAATACGGACTCTTCAGGAATTAATTTTGAATCATTCTATAAGGTAAAGAGCCCTAACCGGCTGATGTTTTTCCTGAGAACAAGGAAAATATGGAAAGAGTAGTAGAAGAAAAAAAGTCATAAATATCAACTACAGCCTCATGGCCAATTACAGAAACAAGGACTGTAGTAACTTTGTATATTTTCTACTTGCTTGCTTTGTGTATTCTTTTATTTGTATATATTAGTGATATTCTTCTCTCTTTCATTTATTACTTTACATACAAGTTTTTGAAGGTTAAATTTATAATTTAGCCTTTAGATAACAGAGTATTCAGTGGGTCTATGGCTGAATTACAATAACCCTTAGAACTGTGTGGCTCCCATTTTGGGAAGAGGGTGACAACTTCTTCACATGTATGAAGACTAGCTTCATCTCATGTTGGGTGGAAAACTTGAGCTATTTTGTGAGTGGAAGTCTAAATTCATGTAGAAAAGTGTATATGGAAGCTGAATAGCCAAAGGGTGGACTGTACTGTTTTCAGTTTATTGTCTTCTCAGCTTCAAACCCATAATTCTTTGTCCTGCTTTGTGATACCACATCTGTACTCTCAAAACATGTCTTATTTTTCCATTAGGGAAATGTTAGACTTGGCCAGTAGGAGGCACTGGTGTGACCCTTCAGGTAATAGCAGTAGAAAGACACTTCTCTTCCAGATTCCAGTTATTAGATATTATTCAGAGCAGGAGATTAGCAGATGAACTCCAACCATGGCCCTGAGGCCATGATCTCCTTACCAGAAGCCACATCTGACTAGCTCTGGCCTGCCTACACCTTCTTGCAATGGTGTGCCACTTCTAAAGACCAGCTCCAGCCCACTCACAACCTCCAGCTATGGTGGGCCCCTTCTACTAACTATTGCCAACCTGTACTCCGGGGAAACTTCTTCACACCTGCTGTGTGTTACTATGGTAGCGGCTTCCTCTTTGAAGAGGTCAGACTCTCAGCCTGAGGGGTGGGGGCGGGGGCGGGAGGAGAGAGGAGGGCAGCCTTCTCCTGGTATTTAGTTTCTTTATGTCTCTGTTTTCACGGCCTATAAATAGTAGCTGCTTTTTTTAAATACCTGACATTTCTGGACTTGTTTTGGTAAATGACCACCTTCTACTATTTAATAATTCTTTATATTAAACTTTTCCTTTTCAAATAACTGGTGTGGTTTCTGTCTACTGGACCCTGACTCACAAACCCTTTGAGAAGGAAATAATTTATTTTTATCAATTAAATAACCTTTTGCTCGTTGGATTTACCAGGAGGGGAATCAGTGTCCTAAATCAGATTGTATTTTGTTTTATAGTGTGCTTTCTGTCCCTAAAAAGAAGAGGATGCGCTATGGAACCTAATATTATCTATTCTGAAATACACCATAGGAACCTTTGTATTTGAGTGTATTAAGATTTTGTGAAGCATTATTGTAAATAATTGTCTAAAGTCATGATATAATAGCTACAGTGAAATTTATGATGGTTCATAAATTTTATCACTTGGTACAAATGAATCAGCAGCAGGTTCACTAAGTTTTCTCTTTTTGGTCTTTTATTTTCAGAGCTATAAAAAGCTCATTGTAACTCTTGGTGGTTAGAGAAAAATTATATTCTTTTCTGCAGCAGATCTTTTTAACAAAAGGGTTTATGACTGACCCCTGAAATCGAAACACTGCAAAAACTGGGGGTGGCTTTTAAAATAACCTTTAGCATGTAACAACCAAGATAGAATTTAACCCTTGGAGTTAGACTGAGCTTCCTGTTCCCATTAAAGCAAGCTGCAAACTCTAGCTGACATACTAGGGAAGCAGTTATCAAACTTCAGCATTTGCCAGAATCAACTGGTGGGCTTGTTACAACAAAGGTCACTGGATCCCACCTAAGCGTTTCTGATTCACTAGGTCTGGGGCAGTGCCCTGGGAATCTGTATTTCTAACAAATCCTCATGTGATGTTTATCTGGGGTCCACAATTTAAGAATCAATGTTTATGGCAGCCATTCAGGGCCTACTTCCTCTATCATCTTCCATTTCTCTCCCATTCCTCCTATTTAATCCCAAACTGTTTGCACCTGCTATTATTATCTTGGGCTCCATATTATTGGTACTGTATTCTGCCTTCAATTTCTATAGCTTCTTTTCTAATATTTTTAAACTTGGCACATTTTTAATGTTTTCTTTCCTCAAACGTCTAGCCTTAACATCTCCCTTTGCTATGCCTTTCCCTTGGCTGCTTTAATCCCTATTGTAATGTTATACTAAATTTCACTTGAGCCCCTTAGTCAATACCCCTCTTCTCCTTGCCTTTCATCCCCCTCTTTTAAGCACACAGACACTCTTTGCTACTACCAGTAATGAATTAGGTTGTGGGATCTGGAGAGGTAAGTTTAGAATGTGCTGATCTTTTCGAGTTAACCCATGCTGGGAACTAAAAAGACATGAAGTGTCCTTTAATAATCCAATTTAGAATTCTCCTTGGGATCAACTGTTTTAGAATTTGTGGAATTATCTTATCTCTTCTAAATGTTGTATAATCTTTCTTTTACAACTGCCCAGAACCCATCTTTCACAGCTACTCAAGCATCACTGATACCCATGCAAGTTCTTATTCACACTATTTTGCCTTTCTTAACCAGTCTTGTCCACCTGCAATGTTCTGTTCATCTGAGATTCATCTCAAGCATTGCCCTTTCCCTCTCCCCATTTTATTTATTGATTTGAGAGAGAGAAAGATACAAACATCGATTTGTTGTTCCACTTTTTCACACATTCGTTGGTTGATTCTCATATGTGCCCTAACCAAATCTGCAACCTTGGCATATCTGGATGATGCTCTCACCTACTGAGCTACCTGGTCAGCGCTCAAGCATTACCTTTTTTTAAGAGTCCTTCTCAGATGTATTCTCCCACAGCATAGCTAATATGTAACTACTAGAGACCCAGTGCACGAATTTGTGCACGAGTGAGGTCTGGAGAGGGGGGTGGGGGGGCAATCGGGGGTGGGGCCTGCCAGGGGAGGGGCCCTGGGCAGTTGGCAGGCTTGCCCCGCCCCCTGGTTGAACTCCAGTTGAACTCCTGGTCTAGGGGACAATTTGCATATTACCCTTTTATTATATAGGATGCTTTGTGTCCTACAACTGACATGGAACTTAAGAGATTTCATCTCATTTACTTATAAATTGGCAAGTTCTTTGAAAACTCTTCTTTAATTTTAGTTTTCTGTTGCTTACTAATATTCATTTCATGATTACCCATCAAAAGATTGTTCTTGGCAGCATGGATGGAACTGGAGAGCATTATGCTAAGTGAAATAAGCCAATCAAAGAAAGATAAATATCACATGATCTCACTCATTTATGGAATATAATGAACAATATAAAATGATGAACAAAAACAGATCCAGACACAGAGAAGCATTGATCAGACCATTAAACCTCAGAGGGATGGTAGGGAAGGGTGGGGGTAAAGGGGAGAGATCAACTAAAGGACTTGCATGCATGCATGTAAGCCTAACCAATGGACACAGACACCAGGGGGGTGAGGGCATGAGTGAGGGAGTGGAGGGGCAAAGGGGCAATAAGGATACATATGTAATACCTTATCAATAAAGAAAAAAATTATTAAAAAATATATATATTAAAAAAAAGATTGTTCTCAGGAGAATCCAAGATGGCGGCGTAGGCAAATGCCTGTACTTGCTACTTCCCACAACCATATCAAAATTACAACTAAAATACAGAACAACCATCATCCAGAACCACTGGAAGCTGGCTGAATGAAAGTACAACTAGAAAAGTAAAGAAGAAAGCACACCGAGACTGGTAGGAGGGGCGTAGATGCAGAATGGGCGGGATTGGCACCCACGTGTGCTGCTTTTTTAATCAGGAGGGAGATCACCTCTGCAGAGGAGCAAGGGCATCCCAGCCCTAAACCAGATGCCCAGTCCCAGAGCTGGGCAAAGAAGTCCCTATGGGCAGTAAGAACTCCGGGCTGTAAAAACCAGTATGTATTGGGAATCAGTGACACAGAGGCTGCTGGAGACCCAGCTGTTCCTCTTAAAACTGAATTTACAAGCTCCCACTTCCTCTGAGATCCAGCACCAGGGCGAGGCTCTGGGGAACCCAGACACATATGAGGAGAAATTGGACTGTCTGGCATTGGGGCAGGAACTTGGGGGCAGCTTTCTTCCAGATGGAGGTGCTCAAAGTGGTCATTGTACCCGTGCTGAGACCTCCCCGGTTGCAGGGCTGACTGGCAGCCGTTTCTTTAGCTCCGCCCTAGTGACTCCCGAGACCCTGCCCCACCCAATTTACAGCCCTACCCAAGCTGTGTGCAGCGGCTTTTGCATATGAATGGCCTGCCCTTTCTCAGGCTAAAAACCTGTCAAACAAGCTGCAGCTGGGTCAGGGAGCCCCAAACCTATCAATAAAAGGCCCAAGACCTGGCACCAGCATCAGCCTGCCTTGCTTCACAGCTGGGCCTCATCTGGGCACTTCCAAACCCCATACAAAGAGGAGGAATCTGAAAAGCTCTTTGTAGCTCCTGCTGGGTGGCCCCAGGAAGTGGCTGATTTGCACCCCACTGGAGTCTCAAGAGCCAGTGTATTCAGTATCAGTGTCAGACCATACCAGGTTACAAGTCTTCACATCCATAAGTGACACATTCAAGGGGCAGACTCAGTGAGCACCAAAGTGAAGCAAGTCCTGCACCATAAGGGTATCTTCTG